ATTTCTGGATTCGGTCCCCGTGCTCAAGACCCGCGATAGAAGCTATACAGTAGCTTAAAAGTTATGATAACTCATGACTAAAAATATATCATTAGTTTGAAGGAAAAATAACCCAATGCTTTATCAAAACTGTGGATGAATTAGAGATATTAGGTTTATATTTACATTTTAAAAAATACCCAAATAATGCAGTTTCACCCATATCAGAGATCCCACTCGCTATACCAACGTATACTCGTAAATATTGAGGAAGTTCGCACATTTTCGCTCCTCGGGATAACAGTAGACTAAAAAAATCATGTAGAGAGAGTAGTAAATTGAGTACTTTTTGCTTATGCCCTGCGAGAGCTACGTAAGAATACAAATGAGCAGTGCTCGTTTACTGTGTACCACAACCACGACGCTGCCTGGGTAAGGTACGGTATCATATTCTGGAGTAATGCCAACGGGGTACACGAGGTATCCGTGCTCTAGAAACATTGAATTGGAATAATCACATTTGGGGCTTCAAGGATTCATGTCATTCATTCATGAGAAGCCGGGGCGAACCACTGTTTATGCGCCCCACTTGGCTATTCCACATCTCATTCAGTCTGTTCCTCAGTAATTATTTTGTTGGCAACATTTTCTACTCTTTGTGAATGTTTAAACATAGACTGTTATGTGCATGATATATCAACTGCATACTATCAACGCAATGGCAACTACATTGTCTGTATGAACTTAAACAATGAATGTTTTTAAGCCATTGCATAGCTTCTATCGCAGGCCTTGAGCGCGGGGACCGAATCCAGAAATTCCGTAACGAAAAAAAACCTCACGCTCCCCACTCCGACGGGCACGGAGGTGTGGCGTTGAAAGCCGTGCATCGTCTAACGTCATTTCAGTTCGGCAGACTTCGGCACTCGGCAGACTTCGGCACGGTGTTTGTGTGCGTGCGACTAGACGTATGCGTGTACACTAGCTGCTAACTCAATGATAAAAATTCCTGAATAACCTACATGTATTGTAAGATATTAAAAATATTTTAAACAATATTAACTTCTCATTTATTCAATAAGAGAAAAAAAGTTGTTTTCTTATCGGTCACCACGCTCAAAAAGTGTAACTTGATTTAATATCAAAGACTTAACTGCATAAATAAAATAAATAAGAACAAAAGTTAAATTTTAATCTATGGTAACCGCGGTTAACTATGACATGTACTGTAAAGCGTTCGAAACGTCGGGTATTTAAAAAGTTAAATATACGCGATAAATTCCGTAAAAACTAGTATTATTTCAATCGTATCAACATGTCTAAATCGGCCTGGAGAGCATTACACGCATTTGAGATATCCTTACCCGAAACGAGAAGACACGTATCATCTGCGAATTGGTAACAGGAACTGTGTTTCAGACAGTTATGCATCTCGTTGACATAAGATAAAAGTGCTACGGGCCAAGTACTGATCCTTGGGCCGTGCTTTCTGTCACATTCTAAGGGTGACTGAACGAGTTATTTAATTTAACCGTAAATGTACGATTTTGGAGGTAATTTATACACCAATTAAGTAACGGACCCCGGATACCACAGTCATCCAGTTTATGGATTAAGATTTGATGATGCAGCGTGTCGAAGGCACGAGAAAAATCAATAAACAAGGCCAGAACACATTTTTTAGGTCCAAATGCTCGTTTACCTCATCTGTAAACTTACATAGAAGGTCCGTAGTACTTTTACCTGCTTGAAATCCGTACTGGTTTTTGTTTATGACTTCGTGCCTGTGGTAAAAATTATGAATCTGCTCACAGATAGCTTTTTCAACTATTTTATCAATATTAGAAAGCAGAGTGATTGGTCGATAGCTGGAGTAATCATCGTGTTTGCCCTTTTTGAAAACAGGTCTCACACAGCCTATTTTGAGGTCGTCGGGATATTCTCCAGACGCAAGACTGCAGTTAATAAAATTGGCAGTTGGTAAGGATATATGATTATCAACCATTTTTTTTAGATAAGCTACTCTAATACAGTCAGGTCCAGGAGCCTTATGTGAGTTCAGTCTCTTAATAATTTCGTTAACATTGTTCTGAGAAATTTTTTTGAACAAAATACTTGAATCCACCGGTCTCCGATAAGCTGCATTGAGGAACAATGTCTTTAACTGTCTTTTCAAAGCTGTTTGCGAAGTTGTTAGCTATCGCTTTGGTGGTAAGGCCCTGTCCGTCAAAAGCCTTCAGTATCGCCTCGTGGATGTGTTACTCGTCCTAACATCTGGTTAATGATTTTATAAACTTTTTTTTGTATGTTTAAAGTTATTATGTATTTCATTAAGATAGTATGTATTTCGTTTTGATTCTATTAGTTTATTGAGTTTATTTCTAGTTTTATTATATTCTAGTCTTATTTTAGGATCAAAAGAGCTACTTTTCCAAAGCTTAAATAAGTAGTTTTTCACATAATCGGGTAACATTACCATTGATCCAAGGGGCTATAAGCAGATTCCTACGATTTTTAGAATACCTAACAGACCTACTAATAGTCGCAGTCTTTATAGCTGTTAGGAACGATTTTTTTATAAATGAAAGTATATCATTTGACGAACTCATGTTATTTGTTTCCAATCTGTAATACTCACCGCATTACTAAAAATGGTATGATCAAAAGTAGTTTTTTGTGTTACTTTCTGCATGCGTCTTGTAGGTGGCGAGTCGTCAAGACACGTAAACACTATGCCACGATGGTCAGCCAATACAGCTGAGTACGGATCTGATGTGGGGAACCTCGCAAATATGTGATCAATGCAAGATTTAGTGACTTTATTTTTTCTTGTTTCAATTCTAGTGTAGTTTGAAATTCCTCACATAATTCCGCGCTCGCTGAGTGTTTGCAAATAAGTGTCCCTGTAAGATGAAATGGTTTTTAGGTCAATGTTGGAATCGCCGATTAATAAGAGGTTTTTATTAGTGTCGTAGTTTGAGATATACCTGCCAAGCTCCTTTACAAACAAATGCTTGTTTCTTTTTGGAGGTTTATAAATTGCACATACAACTACATCTACGGTCGGGGTCAGTTTTAAGATACCCGTTATGTTTTCGAACATGATACTTTTATGTGGTGTTAGTGTAAACTTGAGATGGTTTTTGACATAAGCAATGATACCGCCTCCCCGTTCCGCCGATCGCAATCGGTAGTACATATTATAACCCGGTAAATTAAAAAGGTTAACAATCATATCTGTTACACCAACTTCGGTTAGAATAATCAAATCTAAAGGGTATTTAGAACTATGAATAACTTGTTGAAGCTTCGTAAAATTCTTTATAAGTGATCGTATATTAAAATGTATACTTGTAAGTAATGCATGACGTTTTTTCGGTAATTGTTGAAAATAGTTATGTATATCGTTACAGTTACCAAATTCTTTAATGTTTATGGTCATAATGAAGTTTGAAGAGTAGTAAGTAATTAGGTAGGTATATTCGAACAATAGTAAACAAAGAAAATAATATATGATTAAGAGGTTTTAGAGCTATCTAATTGGTTTAGGAGTAATTCAATATCATTATCTGATCGAATATAGTAAATTTTAGTATTAGGACCTTTCCTGACAAGTACTTTACCGTCCTTACACTAAATATACTGGAAAATCTTACTAAGTTTCGCTTTGGTGTTATATAATAGAGTTTCTAAGTGCTTGGTAAGGGCCTCCCTGATGTACACTCGTTGTTCAGCTACTTCCTTCGGCGAGTTTGGTAGGATAGTTCGCACGGAGAGACATTACTCTTTACCAGCTTCAATCCATTGTTTTTGAGCTGTCTTTGTTTTCATCTCAACAAGGATTGGACCAGGGCGATCCTTAGAGCTGGCAAGCGTTGTGAAGATTGAATGTCGCTCACCTTAGTATTCAGTTCTGAAGCTAGCGTTTCTAGGATTTTATCGACGTCTTTGATTGAAGCCTCCGGTAGGCCTGCAATTTCTACAATATTTGATAAAGATTTCTGCTGAAACGTTTTTATTTCTTGTTCTAGTATGATCACTCTAAGTTCAGGTTTTTGTGCTTATTTTGTAGGTCTTGATTTTTATTTTCTATTTCTTTCATTTTGCTATCGTGTTTTTTAGGGTTTGGTCAGTAGTACTCAGCTGCTCACCCAGGAAATCAATTGAAGTTTCTAGATTTCCAATTTCTTCCCGGAACGTTATAACCGTTATAACCGTTTATTTTTCTAGATACCGAAGCCATGTCGTTTTGAAAATTCTAGTTTATTGTCTTATTTATAGACCATATTAGGCTTTCTACTACAAATTTTCTCATTTTAAAAGTGAAATAAAAACATCATAACGAAATAAAATCTTAGTAATATTTTGAATCTATGAAATGGCAACATAATACACCCAGAGGGGTAGGCAGAGACTACGGACTTCTATTTGGCACGATCCTGACATACCTCTTTCGCCTCCTTTACATCCATATATCTACGCATACATGCTTGTCGGTTAAGGGTACCTCTAATGTGGCCCATTTTCAAAATATCGCCAATTTGGTCGATAACTTTCTTCTAGGGCGTCGCTTCCCGACTCTGCCGTTGGCAACTATTATCACAAACATCCGTGTTAGTCATTGTAATTCAATTTCACAGTCACATGTAGCTAAATTTTGTAAAAAATATCGATTCTTGTCAGTTTTTGTTGATTTTTAGAAGAAAAGATCAGGTAAGTGTAATAAACTAAATGTAATATCCATCGTATACAAGACTAACCTTGTAAATATATTACAAGACCGGGGTAAATATAAGAAGCCTTGATGGAATTTTTTCGAATATTCTAAGTTAGGAAAATACTTCCCATTGTTTGTTACCGTAATAAAAAATTACAAAAAATCTAGAAATAAAGATAAAAGGAAAAATAATTAGTACACATTTTTGAGTTTTAATTTTCCTACAAAATTTTATTATTAATTTACAAATATTTGAAAAAATCGATAGCCAAAAGAAACACGAAATACCACTTACTAAACAAAATTGGAAAAAGCAGTTGATAGTTTAGCCGACTTATCTGATTTATCAGAGTATGATTCTGAAGATTACCCGTTCTATGCTGATAGTATACATACTCTTTCTGATAGTTATTTAAATCAACCAGATGATTGCATAATAGAGCAACGTCTTGAAAAATTATTTAGTATTGAAGATAATCTTAATGTCGATACACTGGGAAATGAAGCCGAAGAAGTAGATGAACCCACTACACAGGCATCAAAATCATTACTTTCAATTTTATCTAAACCACCATCAAAAGAGATAGTTGGCACAGCTATGGCAATCAATTTAGTTTCTGAGCAAAATATTAGTAATAACCAAATACAAGTACAAGAATCATGCACTCAGGAAAAAGGCAGTGACTTATTTGCCATGGAAAGTTTAGTGGAAGACCAACGAGAGTATCAAGAGTCTATATATATATTTCACTTCATGAGCAAGATGATAGAGAAAACATGATTTACAACTTTTTAGAAGATGGCCCGCAGAAACAATCAAGCTCCTTATGTAATACACAGGGACCGGTCTCAACTACGTGAATGGAAGACGGTGGAGAAAATCCATGATATAGCTATTTTGAAAAAGTTTTTAAATCCAAGGACAACTACACGCATAAATCTTCACCATTTGATGTTTTTGAAAGGTTTTTCAGTGATAAGCTGATACAGATAATAGTGGATCAAACACGTGGATATGCCCGTCAGAATAACAGTAGTAGTTGGAAACCAGTTACTAAAGAAGACATTAGGGCGTACTTAGGTATTTTGATCATGATGGGCTTAAATACTGCTTCCAGCTATGGAAGCAATGTGATCCAATTTACTGCAATAAATAAATCTCAGACATCTTTCCAATAGTCAGGTTTAAGAAAATTACAGAAAATATCCACCTTAATGATAATAAATTACAACCATCAAGAGAATCGGATCCATACGGTAAATTATACAAAGATTATTTATCTCAAAGTTAAACAAAATTTATCAAAACAAGTCACATAATTCGTTTATGCAGTCAGTAGATGAGTGCATGGTCAAATTTAAAGGCCCTAGCACTTTAAAACAATACATGCCTAAAAAGCCCATTAAACGAGGTTTTAAGATATGGGCGTGGTGACACTAAGATTTTACCACTTGTTATATTAATGAAGTTGACGCCATACTTATAATTATCATTAACATTATAACAGAACTTCCCGGAGCGTCGGTGCTTTACGACAGCTTCTGCAGTCCGTAAACATGTTTAAGATCATCCCCGCCGTTACATTAGATAAATCACAACTACTCACAAGCTAACATTTCTTCTTCCTGTGCAAGAGTATTTCAACTACTTCGTAGTGGGTACCTGTATAAATTAGAATTATACACCGGAAAAGTGGATGGTATAGAAAACGAAGGTCTTGGCTACAACGTCGTAATGAATATGTCATTACGACGTTGTCACATCTTTACATGTGCCTAAATACACATTCGCTTTTGACAACTTCTTTACTCGTTGTAATTTGTTATAAAAACTTTATGAGAAATGAATCTACGCAGTTGGAACAGTTCGAAATAACAATAAAAAACCTTCCTGAAATGATAAAAAAACAACCTCAAGAGTTGAGATTAGCTAAAAACTAATTTTCAGTTGTTACAACAGAGCCAATTACGGCAATAAAGTTTGGTACGAAAGAAGTCACCGTACTTACAACTGCACATGAGCCACGCGACATAGTACTCAAAAGGATGGCTATAGGAAGCAAATTTTTGCTCGAAAGCTATTGCATCGTATACCCTCAGTATGGGCGGAGTAGATCTTTTCGGTCATTTTCAGTCTTCATATCCGATTAGTCGAAAATCACGAAAATTTTGGATGAGACTTTTCTTCTTTTTTCTTGATGCTTCAATTATAAATGCATTTATTACGTACAATTACACACATGTTATGACTTTACACGGACTTCGAAAATTTAGATTACGTTTGGCACGTTCACTGACAAACAACTACAACTAGGAAATAACAAGTACAACAATGTCTTTTGCATAAAAATAAAAAAGATGGTGTCTTCGGCGTACCAGACGAGATTCGCTTCTTGAACGTGGGCATACACTTGCCAGAAGAAATGGGTACTTATAAAAGCAGATACTGCAGTACAGAAAAACTAGAAAAGAGAACAAAAATTCAATGTTGTACTTGTAAAGTTGTATTGTGTGCCAAAGGGTGCTTTAAATAGTTTCATACTGTCATAACGATTTAAAATTTTCATTTTTAAATTCATTTTAATATTTTCATTTCGCTGTTCATTTCTTTTGTTATTAAAAAATCTCTAAACTGATTTAAATATATTTATTTTTAAAATTATGCCTTACACGTAATATGAAGATCAACTTTGGCAATAAACTTTGTAATAAATTTCTATAAAGTAAAAAGGAAACTGGGAGGAACTATCTAGTTAATTTGATAAAATATTTATTTTCAGGTGATGGAAAATAATTTCCAACTCAAACGGCTATTTTTCAATGCGGTTACGAATAATGCGAAATTATTTCCCACCGTAAAACAACCCCCTATCCACCTTTTAAAATGTTTCATAACGAATTTAGAAATCTACGCATCAAACTCACCCAAAAACCATTCTCAGATTTCGCTTTTCGCAAAAAAAGTGCGTTTGATTAAGAAATATATAATTTTAGTAGAAGTATAGCCTTAGCATTCCTTCTCTATATAAACTAAACCGAATTTCACACTCCTACGACTCCTCTGTGCCCAATAAATAAAGGGGTACAAAGTTTTCCCTTTATGCAATAATATTTACGAGAAGATCTCGCGCGCCGGACGATTACTTTCACGCACCGCACTCTTTGCGTTATATTGCTAATATTTTAATAATATTTTTAATAATGTTTTAATGTTGTTAGCATTTACAAGTGACGCAAAGAATCAAAAACGAAATCCAATAATTAGAATTTTAAATTCACAATGGAATTATATTACATCTTATAAGAAAAAAAGCACTCGGTAGAAATGGGGTGCCATAGTATTTCATTTCCTTATATAAAACAAAAGAGGGAAAAAGTGAACCCTCAGTAACATGCTACGAAAATAAATACTTCTGAGGTTAAGTTTGTTTAACATTAATTATTTTTATAAACGGTACTTGCTCATTATTCAGCAAAAACTTATTTTCGTATCCGACGACATTGTACTGAATTACTAACGTTAAATTGAAAATTGTTTGCTTAGCTGAGACAGGTGTAGGCTAAAACCAGGACTGATGCCCCAGTTTTTGAAAGAGCCTCACTATTTTAATACCAAATATATTGGCATAGATTATCTTTGTAATATAATTAGTTTAATCATTTTTATAGCCTTTAAAATCTGTATTTGTTTACCTATTACTGGTTATGCCAAAAATGAATTCCAGCGAGACAGTTTGTTGGGAGATATAGCTCACTATGAAATTGCTTAGAAGGATCGATGCCTATGATGAGGGATAGATTCCCTTCTAAATAATCAACAAGAATATGTAATTACAATGTAAGTTTTATATATAATTTATTATAGAGAGTACATAAATACACAAATATCAGGTCTCGATATCGACAAGACTAAATGTAATCCTGTTGTAATATCATGTTATTCTAGTGTTCAATACAGTAAAATGGATAAATTAAACAGAAGCTGAAATCAAAGCGATATTACGGTAGCCATAATTTCTTACGTAGAGGCTGACATCATCAATATACTATGTAGTACAAATGATAGATTTTGTTTTGCACTGAAATAAGTTTTAGTTATAGACCTAACTCTGCAAATGATCTAAATCTATTTTATTTATTTATTTATTTGCCTTTTAAGGGAAACATACAGTACATTAAAAATACATCATAAAACATATAAAAGTAATCCTAAAACCGATGGAGTTTCCACAGATATATAACAAATAATGTAGAAAAAAATAATCCTTCCATTACAGCCTTTAAAAGTTCTCTCTTAAACAAAAAGGCCTTTTTTGAATTTTGGCAAATTTGTCAAGCTTGGATTAAGGTATTATCGGGAAGTTGTTGCTCCTCGTCTTCTGTATTAGTTTCCATCTATTTTTTCCTACACCACACGTAGTTTTCAGATCTTTGCAAAAAAACCGACTACTAAGTGATTTTTCTATAATAGAGCCTTGCACAAAGACGCTATTCCGAATTTAAAAGTGTCTTCTGGGGACAAAGACGCGGTCAAAAGCTAGTAGTAAAAAAATGAAAGAATTTGGCACATGTAACATTATGAGATAATACTAAAGATCGCTGCATACGTAACGTGTTTTATCCCGGACGTAGCTGGACGCGAAACTTTGGAAATATCGTTTCATAGAAAATATCCGTGCATCCGTTACGTATGCATTATCACGTATAATGCATACGTAACGGATGCACGGACGGGACGGGGACGTGGCATGAACGGGACAGGAAAAACATCGTCGGCGACGATGTTTACCCCGACGTGCCACGTCCCGTCCGTGGTTCCGCTGCGTATGCACAGTCGCTCCGTTGGCTACGCAGTGATGCGCGTGTTTTAACGAACGAAATGTATTATGAAAAACTAATTTAATGCAAAAAAGATATTGAAACTAAACACAAAATATAAAAAAATTAGTTTATATTATATTATAAATTTTATTTTCCATTTATGTTGTCATACGAAAATACATGTGAAATTGAGTCTTGTCATCCAAATGTTCTTTGTAGAGAGTATGGTATGAGTACCAAGAGTGTGGTATGATTAGAAGGTGATCAGATCAGATCAGGTACAGAAAATCTCCCTTTACTCTTGACTGTTGTAGCTTCTTTATCATCTGAAGCAATGAATGAAGCGTGAGTTTAAAAAATAATATACTGGAAAACCAGAGATGCCGTTATTTTTAAAATTGAGCATATTATATAAGGAATGTTTTGTGGAATAAGGTTTACAAACGGGCACTCAGTCCACCTGAAGGTAAACAATGCTGAAACTCATAGACATCTACATTTATTCTCATTTAACAATCAAAATGCAGTCACCCTTGAGGACTAAATGAAATGCCTCATTCCAAAGGTTTCTGGTTCTCTGCACTCAAAACATGAACCAAAGCATTAAGCCTTTATTTTACTGGTATTGTGTGCGTGTGTGGTCCTTCCTCGGTCGAGCCAACCCATTCGTGCCACAACCATGATATAACTACAGCATGGCTCTATCAGGTATAAAATACATACATACATACATTGAACGGTGTTAGCTTAGGAGCTAAGTGATTGCTTGAAATTTCAACAGAAATTGAAAATTTTAAAGCTGATTTACCACCATTTATCTTAGCGGTGAAGAAAAACATCGTAAGGAAAGCTACATTTTTCGAATATACTTTAATATGTCTAAGACACGTCATGAAGTTTCGTCGATAGCAAATAGATCAACGTGATGGACTGATGGATATCGAAGAGATTATGTCTGTCGGACATTGAGAGCAGGTCCGTTGCTAGCAGTGGGATATTTATAACTGCCGACGGGGGTACCGCTTCATTTTCCCCGTCTGCTACTGTAGTATTTTTTTAATATACAAGAGAGGGTAAACGAACATGCGGCTCATCTGATGATGACTACCGCCGCTCATTAACAACTGTAATACCTGAGTAATTACAGATGCGTTGTCAACCATTCAAAAAGGACTAGACTCTTTTGTTGAAGGTTCCTAAGTCTTATCGATTCGATAAAACCGCTGGAGGTAGTCGATTTCACGAGAGAGTTATGAGAGGTGCCTGTTGTAAATTGCACAATGCCTGATTGCCAATAATCTAGATAGTGTGGATGGTAGTGCGAGTTTTGTCGCGATGTGCGATGGTGAAAATGAGCGGCCGGAATTAGTCCGAAAAATTCCTACAAGCAATCCTCTTGGTAAATGATATTGAATATGTAAAGGGATGTAACATCTCTTCGCAGGGCGAGTAAGTCAAGCCGATTAGAAAGAACTTGTTCGCGGTTGATTCTAACAGCTCTACGCTAGATACAATCAACTGTAACGAGGTGAACCCCTCGCTTGTGTGCGTGCATTGCAAGACGTTTGTGTGAGCATTCCTTATTCTCGTTTAGTCTTTATTGAGGTTGGAAAACTTTGATGAAATGTAATGCAAATCAAATACCAATATTTAACTTATGTGAACAATAGTCAAATAATTAAAAAAAACAATAATACATTCTGCCTCTGCTGCCCAAGTACAAAACTTATTCTATTAAAACGTCCAGTTTAATTCAGCGTTATGTAAACTGTCACACAAATCCCATGTGAACTTGAGGTTAAGCGACAAGGGTCCTGCTGTATTATTAAGCCATTTGATGGTTGATCGGATTAACCGCCACTTTATTGATTTCCAGCCCAAATTCTTAAAGGGGATTATAAAGGGACGTAAATTATTCAATCGGAAGACTCGCTGCATTAAGATGGTAAAATATTATGTTAGATGGACTTAATTTTTATACGTGTTTGCTGAATGAATATCCATTCTGTGTTATTACCACACTAAACACAGCAGCGGTATGCTGCTAATTAGACTGGCATTCTGAGAGAGTATGGTCCCTCGGTGGAACTCATCCATACGTCCTGCAGCCTTAATACTGCTTCGTGTCCATCAGATTTTATATTTGGCTCGATAAAAATGTTTCTCTTGTTATTATTATTCGGTGTTTAGTTACTAACGCAAGGTGGGTTAGTAACTAAACACTTATATAAAATTGGAGTGACTAAAGAACTTACACTCCACCTGACTGCAACGTGCTACTTCAAACAAATTAGGCTACACATGCATCATTACTTCAAGTGCTGATTTAACACGTTCTCGGTGATGAAGGAAAACATCGTGAGGCAACCTGCATATCTGAGATATTTGAAAAAAATATTTAGAAGACATGTGAAGTTTTCCAACAAGCAATAGGGCAGCGCGGCGAACATTTCCTTGCCTAAAAACTCTCTTAGAGGCCTGTGGTCAATATTGGGCCGTAAATAAGCTGTAATTTTAGCCTTAAATTTAATGCATATTTTTTACTCAATGGCGGTGACGTAAAAATACTATCCTGTATCGTTTCGTACCGGTAATGCATATTTTTATGGTTATCCGTGTAATTCATTTCTTATCGTAATCAATCCATCCATAATCAAACAACTGCCTCATAATATGAAACTTTTTTGGAGTCGTAAATTTTCTGCCAAAGATGTTATATTTCATTTTTAAGTCTTGCAAAAATAATGATAACGTGATATGAGTTTGAATGAGTCTTGTACACATGATTATATTAAGAATTGGTTTTCTGCTACTAAAACAATGGTCTAAATACTTCGCACACACTCAGTATACAGTAGTTGCACTGCCATTTATTAACAGGTTTTTATAAGAATATCTCAATAATAATTTATTTATTTAATCTCACATTTAAGGTAAAGAAAGATCTGTACTTGGCGGGAACCTGTGTAACAGATTATCACGGATCCTCTCAGCATACTAGATAGCTTAAAATTTTTTATGGTGAAAACACTTGTGTCGTCATACTGTATTAATAGTACTTTTTGAGTGTGAAGTTTAAGTACCTGGAATTTTTTTAAAAAGCTTTCACAATTAAATTCAAATTAATTTTGGTACAATATTGTTTGTAAACAATTGATACTTAGGTTGCTGATATGCTTCTAGGTGTATGTACACTCAAGGGGCGTTTAGTCTATTTATTTCACAGCGCGTAATATTCTCTTTATACCTGCTAATAAAGAATTAACTTTGTTGAAAACGTCTGTACTATTATGTAGAAATTATATTAAAAATAATAATAGCGATGCAAAGTTACGTAAGTGTATCCTTTTAGCAGTTTAATTTTCACCAAGATGCTGAAATAGTGTACAGATTTACTCATGCTTATATTTATCTGATTATATCTGATATCTGTATGGAGAAGATATTTTAGCTTGCTTTTCTTTATGGCCCATTATCATCTATATCCTGGATTAAAAATTAAATATATATATACACATTTACCCATGACCACACTCAACTTCTTGTTCCGCGCTCACGCACATATTTTTCTTATTTATTTTTTAATAACTTATTTCAGTCAATAGCTGGACGCACACACATATATCTAATCATGCTGTTGTTGGCAAATAATTTTACATGCGCACGTGTTCCTACAATAAGTTGACCATGGTTTTGATTTATTTTCAGCATCACTTGAAGAGTATGCAGAGCTACGTCTATCCTTCTTTGTTAGTATGAGCCCCTGTGGACTAAGATGGCTCTCTGTCACTTACCGTATAAAACACACAAGCATTTTGTTGTTGAATGTAAATTATATAGATATTTAATTCTAAGGACCGGACGCACCCTGATAAGGCTCACAATTTACTAAATACCCATGGCGAGTAGCGGCTGACCAAAGCTTGTAACCAAATCTAATGGGTTTTCCGTGTATGTGTTGCTTGGTACCGTGCCTCCCAAAATATGGTACTATAGTTTCGTCAATCGAAATATGAGAGGAGCCAGCTCTCTTAAAGTTTGCTGTGAAATTTTTATTCAGTTTTGTGAAATATTCTCGAACTTTAGCAAATTTGTCATTGGATGGCAGAGATGTACTGTCGCAAAGATGAATATATTGCTGAATTTCGAAAAACCTATTACGCCTAATGCTAGATGCTACTAAGTCATTGTGTGTGTCACTTTTCACTTCCCAGAACATCCTCATATATTTTGGCGTCAAATACTCTGTTAGTAACAGTATCGAAATGTATACTCTTTTCTCCGTAGTTACATTCAGAGTATGATTCCTTTGTAAGGCATAGAGATTGGACATCTCAACTGTATAGCTAATCAGTTCATCACTATAAAGCAATTCAAAACATTGGACAAGAGTTATCTCCTCCTGTAAGTGGGCAAAAACTTCTTCATCTCGGTCTCCTTTACCACAAGTCGTAATAGAAGCAGTGGTCTCATAATCGTGCCATTTTTTACTGTATTTTTTTTCTTCATTTTCTTTCGGGCATTTCCTCGTCAAGATTTTCTCCAGACATGGAAAGGTGGTTCTGTGTCTCAACTTGAGATCGAAGCATGCGACTAGGAAGAAGAAGGATATTAGCTTCATTTTCATCACCACTGTCTTCATCAGTTACATCGCCGTCGTCAGGAGGAAATAAAATTATATCACCTTGGTCTTCTTCGGCCTGCAACACCTCGACAATCTCACCTAACGTCAACCTATAATAAAAAGAAACAATTTGTATAAGCACAGCGATATGACTAGCAAAGTTTTGTAAAAAAAGTAGAAATAGATAAAATAATGCCCAATGTCACCTGCAGGTGACACCACACATTTTAGGTGTTATAACAATACCACTTTTAGTTTATATTTTCAATAAATACTTGTATATTATAGCTTAAAAAGAATTTTTAACACTTGATAAGAAAAAAATACACAATACTTACGGTTTGGGCATTTTATTTTAACTTTTTCCTGCAATAGATCACAAAAACGCAAGTTGATGCAATTACGCGCAAAATAACTTTGTGACATTGACAGTTGACGTATGGTGTGTGTTGCTAAATATAAAAATTGTCAAGTGGTACTCTTTGACATTACTACCATAGTGGTAGAATTAAGAAATAATATTTCCATGTGGTATAAAATAATGATTAAACTTCTATCACCTACAGGTGACACTGGGAATTGACGAGTTGAAGGTAGACTATATGATCGTTTGTCTTGTTGTTCCTGTGAAAAAGAATGTACCAGTTAAAATAGAGACATTAACTCATAGACTTTGACTTCGATCCACGCCGGCTTCGTACGGGTGATTTCGATCTCGACAACCGGGTGCCGGGTTCAATTGTGAATGTAAACCATTCTCGAATCAACTTAATCAGTCCAGCCATTTAGAACAGGTTCAATCCCATGCACACGAACCGAATAATTACACACACACATACACACACACACACACACACGCATATATGCATATATGCATATACGCACATATATATATATATATATATATATATATATATATATATATATATATATATATATATAAAGATTCGTATATCGTAAAACATGGGAATTTAGACTTCAGAGATTAAATATTGAAACATCGATAAGGCCGGTATTTTAATGGAGACTGGCCATCTATACTGGACAGAAAAACCTTCGTTCTGCTGTACTACTACTACTGTTATTTACTGTTATTGGGAATTTCTTGGTGGAACGCCCAATAATTAATTTTGGTTTGACCCGGGATTCGAATCCGGTAACTAATGATCCGCATTCATGGTACACGAACAAGTATTTTATTTGGTCTTTAAATTAATATTTTGTTGTGTTATTTGAGAGCAGATAATAAAAGTTTTAATTAAGTGTTGACTATATAAGTATAAACGTGACTGCTGACTCATGACCATTGGTTCATGTTCATGGTCTAGGTATTCAATTCTAGACCATACACCTTGTTTTCCTAATGTTCACAAGATTCTTGTTCCACAGTCTGTCACCGATTTCTTCAATTCTTCATTTATATAATGATTTCTTATATTTACGCGAACACTACACATTGAAATAATACTAGTTTTTACGGAATTTATCGCGTATATTTAACTTTTTTAATACCCGACGTTGAACGCTTTACAGCACTTACGGTCACGGGCGGGACTGAGATGTTCAACGTCCATATGTCATAGTTAACTGCGGTTACCATAGATTAAAATTTAACTTTTGTTCCGATCTATGCAGTATGAACTTATGGTATCTTGAAGTCTTGCAGTTGTATGCTTGGGTTGGGATTTAATTTTATTTATTATAGGATCCCAAGCAGATGGTAGCACCCAGCCATCTTCTCTATTGAAATTAGGATGTTTTTTGATTTCGATAGCCTCGCGAATCATCCTTGGAAGGAATCGGTGTTCTTTAGCGAGGATTTGCGGTCTATCAAATCTGATGTAGTGACGGGGGCGATCCTGTACGTGCCCATGCGACCATGAGTGCTGTGAAGCGTTCGAAACGTCGGGTATTAAAAAGTTAAATATATGCGATAAATTCCGTAAAAACTAGTATTATTTCTTCATTTATAGTTCAGGCAATACTCCACTAGAACACATACATTAAATACATAGATATAATAATCCAAGGAAAATAAATTCTGACCTTTACTATTATTTTGTTTTGTATATTATTTATGTAATGTGTACATCTGGATATATATAAATAATATAAATTTTATATATGTATTAGTTTTCCTATGACTTGGTCCACATTGTAATCTGAAATGAATTTTTTGTTACTACAACCCAACATTGAATGTTATCATTTCAAGAAGTTACTGTCTACAATTTTTTTATAAAATTCCCAGTAGTATTACTAGTAAGATCACGTGGTAAGACTACTATCAGTACTTTTTCGCATGGAGTTCTAATTGTTTATGACCTGACACAGTTATCATACTGCTACATTAAAATTTAAATAAAGCAGGAAAGTAGGACCGGGCACTAACATAGGCTATCGCTATGACAGCCTGTGGGATGCAGCCGGAAATGTGACCAAAATTTTCGGGTCTCACTCACAAAGCAGGTTGGTTTCTGGTATGTTATTTTGTGTGTATGTTTTGAAAAGTTTCTTTATGATTTTTTCCCAGGACATAGAGTGGTAAATAATAAAGTGACTTTAAATAAGTATTATTTATATTAGGTTTTTTTATTGTCTTCGTAGATATACCTAACTTACTACACTAATTTCAAGTTATGTTTTATGTTTTTACATTTGTTTTTCATCTTTTTTCTTTACCTGTTGTTATCACAGTTCATCGATTCGAGTTATAAAATGTACCCCAAATTAAACAAGACATTAAAAAATTAATTACCTCAAAGTTTTAAGATAAAAAATTTACCCGTTTTTATTTAATTTCGCTAAAAGTTTGAATAAATGCTTAACGAATATTCTTAATTTATTATTTAACATTAAATTACATGATATTACCTACAAAACCACATAACAATGTTTGTCGTTATCTCAAATATGTGCCGAACTACAAATTGTTCAAATTGACTAATTTGGTCAAAATAGGGGATAGCGCAGGTAATTTTTTTTTACCTGCGCAAATCTTATTGACTCGTTTTTATTGTGCAGCGCGCACCTACACTCTTAAGCCCTAAGCTTAGATTAGTTTAGTCGCCCATTCATTGTCAAAATCATCGCGTGTTGTTGACATGCACTTTGTGTATGGTTTCTGTAATGGAAACGGGCGAGCAGTTGCCGAGTACAGACGACGATTTTCTAATAGGATCGTCCTTGGATATCGCTCGTTTACCATCCATCGACTACTTAGTGAAATGGGTTTACGTCGGAGAAGAAATGAACCTGTACCACGTAGCCAAGCTGTTCATGACGACGTTGGTGAAGAAGTGCTAAGGTTAGTAGCAGGTGACCCGATGATAAACACTCTTCGAATTGCAAATCAGCTGGGTATAAGGAAAATGAGAGTGTGGCGCGTACTGAAAAAGGAAGGAATTCACCCTTACCATTTTCAACGTGCTCAAAATTTACGAGAAGAAGACAGTACACCAAGGTTTTTTGTACGTGGATTTTATGACAGCACGGACTAAATTATAATTTCTTAAGTGAAATTTTGTGGACGGATGAGGCCACATTTACTAGAGCCGGAAAACCAACTATCGTAATGTGCACGTTTGGAATGATGAAAATCCTTTTGCTGTCAGAGAAACTTATTTCCGGCACGAATTCTCCATTAACATGTGGGCTGGAATAATTGATGACCAATTCATTGGGCCTTTGAATTGCCAAGATGGCTAACGCAAGAGGTCATGTTGAGTTTTTTGCGCGAAGACCTGCCTCTTTTGCTACAAGATATCCCATTGTTAACAAGAGGAAATATGGCCCTCCGATTAGATGGAGCTCCGGCTCGTTATGCAGCGTCAGTGCGTATATTCATATATTCATAATAAAAACTTTCCACGTTGGATTGGCAGAGGCGGTCCAGTACCATGGCCTCCAAAGTCTCCTAAAAATGATTATTTTTGAATTAATTCAAGAATTAATTTCATCTAACGGATTAAATATGCAGCTAAGCTTATGGTTCATAGCACGGTGGGCCCACGAACTGAAAACTTGAAATACACATATACAAATGCTTTCGCAACCAGCAATAGATGACACATTGCGCCACATTACATTTTTTTGTCCCTGGGGTTGTGTAAATTGTAAGAGCAAGCCCCCGTCTTGCGTGCAAGCAGTCACGTCTCACGCAGACTCCATTTTGAAATAAGGAAATCAAATTCATCCGGGAACGATCTAATCCGCTGATATTTTCATCTAAAGTCGCGTAACATTAAGATAAAGCTGTTACTTACTTACTTACTTACTTATCTTCACGCACAATCCCTAACGGGGTAGCCAGAGAGAACAGATCGCCAAGTGTCACGATCCTTACATACCTCTTTCGCTTCTTTCAGGTTCATTAACTTCTTCATACATGCACGTCTAGGTATCCGAGTACTCTTGACCCTCCCCTCTTCGAGCAATTTGCTCACATGGTCTTCGAAAGTTAGTCTCGGTCTACCTCGACACCTTTTAATATTTACTTTCGCTCTATATATTTTCTTCACCATTCGGTCTTCACTCATTCGTTCAACGTGCCCAAACCATTGGAGTACGCCCCTATCAATTTTTGTGATAAGGTCATCTTTCAATCCTGCCATATTGCGAATCTCTTCGTTTCGCTTTCGGTCGGCTAAGGTAACGCCACATATTTTACGAAGAGATCGCATCTCCACTGCATTCAACTTGCTTTTATGCTTCTTCTGGCATACCCAGGTTTCGCTGCCATATAACAAAGTCGGTACCAACACTGCATTATGTATTGCAAGGCGTGCACTCTTCACCACGCCTTGCCTTTTTACTAATGCATTCAGGGCACCATTGACTTTGTTTCCGGCAGCGACACGCCTATCCACATCTAAATCACATCTTCCATCCCGGCTGAAAGCACTCCCCAAGTATACAATTTCATTTACCTGTTCTAGACATTCCTGATTTACCCATATTTCACATTTCGTTCTCTCTTCGTCCTTTTCAAATACCAGAACCTTAGTTTTATTAGCATTCAAACGGAGACCTTTAATTTCACATTCCTCTTTCATACACGTGACTAATTCCTGCAGTTCTGCTTCTGATGGTGCAATAAGCACTGCATCATCAGCATACAACACACAATTAACTTTTATGTCACCCAATTTCACACCCAAACAGCTATTTTTCAGCTTCTGTAAACAGCTATCGAGATACAGTATGAACAGCCAGGAAGACATGACA